GGTCCGTACTCTAACTACTCGCATCCTCTCGTTTCTGATTTTGTTATTTATTTTACTCTCATACTACTTCCTCTGAACTTTTATTTAACTAATCATTTCACAACCATAATTATTCTTTTTCTTTTTTATTTTTATTTCTTCATATTATTTATTTTCTTTTTCAACTTTATACTTAATTAGGAATTTCTTTTAATTTTAGATTAATTTCTCATCACAGTCCAAGTATTTCTCAATCTTTAGGTTTGTTTTCTAGTTTCTGTCTCCTCATAATTTTCAATAGTTTAGGTTCACTGGTTTATAGGTTCGAGTTCTGTTCTTCTTCAAAAATCGGGTTAGTATTCGTTTAAATTTTAAAATACACATAAATTAATAAAATACATGAAAATTTAAAAATCCTAATCCAGGTTCAGAATAAGAAATACTTACAATCCTACGCAACAATCATTCTAGATCCACTTGAACGTCCTAATTTCCTGTACGCGCACGATACAATTTAATTAAAATAATGTTAAATACTAAACAAAATTAATTTAACCGAAATCACGGGTTTCAATGAAAACCCTACAAAATACCCAAAAATATCAGGATTTGTACTTGGAGAAGACCTTTCGACTTCCCGATCGGCGGATCAGATTCCCTAATGGGTGAATCCGGTCTCCATTCCCAAGGAAGGTCCCTCGGCTTCCACTGGTGGGCTAGTTTCCCAATCCCGAGGAAAGCTCCTCAGTTCCCGCGCGGGTGGGTGTCCCGGCCGAGCTCCCGCAGCTAGCCCGACACTAACCACCGTTCCCCCGTCACTCAACAGCTACCAAAAACACACAAAAAAAGCTTTACCTTTCCGGCATGGGCCGATTTGGCCTCAGTTTGGCTCCCAGTAGTTTACTCTCGGCCACTCTGCGGCTCCCTGGCTTGCTTACGATTGGAATGATGATTTTCACGCCTAAAAAACCGATTAGTGTAAAATAAAAAAAGATTGAAAGGAAATTAGGGGAAGAAAAGACGCAAAACAAACCCTTTTTACCTTGTTCGCGTCAGTCTCCATCGCCGCACGGTGCCTCGGGTCATTTCCTCTTCCTCCTTCTTCCTTTTACCTCGGTTTCCATCGCTCTCCTGCTCCGCCTCTCTCTTCTTCCCCTTTTTCCCCTTGCGTCAGTAGTTCTCGGCTTCTCCTTCCCTCTCCCGCCTGGCCACTCTTTTTTTCTCCTTCCTCTTCTCTTTCTCTGGCCTCCCTCTTCCTTTCCTCTCCTTTTTTCTTCTTCTCAGCTTCCAGCGCACGACAATCTCCTCTCTTCCCTCTCACCTAATCGGCTCACCTCTTTTTCTCCTCCTCTCTCTTTTTCGGCTACTCACCCAAATGAAGAAACACCCTAAACTTTTCCTTTTTATACATGTCCTCCCCAACCGTTGCATCTTGCTAGCTCGATCTAGACTGTCCATTCTCCATTAAATCTAAGCCATTTGATCTTCTCAAACGGTTAGATCAGGACCGTCCGTTTCTTGATTTCTTTTTGTCCCCTTTCACTTCTATTTCTATATATTTTTACCCCCATTTTTTCTTATTTATTTTTATTTAAGTCCTTTAATTAAAATAAACCCCCAAAATTCTTAAAACTCTTTCATTTAAATC